ATCCCTCTCTTGAAAGGACAACCACCTGGGAGTAGAACCAAGAGAGTAGAAAGCTGGGCTGTGACTGCTCTCAGATTGTATGCCCAAGATGAATCCCTAACTCCATCACAAGGTACAATCAGGTGCCCACCTCCACATGTATCCTGCAGTCTCTCCTAATGGGATTTCTTTCCCTCTTTGCTATTCAAATGTCCTTTGAGATCATTTTAAAATGGATTTTATTCTTATGAGAAGACATGTGAGGGAAAAAGGCGTTCAGAGGCCCAGCACCCATTGAATTCACCAATGTGTGAGGGACTCCCTCTCTTCCCCTTCACATGCACAGCATCTGACTGCTTTAATCAATCAATAGATTGCCCAGCCCAGTTCAATTTCTTGCACTTCAGCTCTTGTTTGGTTTAATTGGATCTGAGTAAAGGAGATAGTTCTTCACAGAACCTTAAATATGATATGTGCAAAAGTTTAAGGATGCTGTTCTTTGAAAATGGATCTATCTAAATCCACTCATAGGTGCGGCTCTCATTGACCAAGCTGTTAGTGTGTATCTTAGTTACAACTGTTTACCTGGAGCCTTGAACTTCAGTATAGCCACTGCCAGCAATATAGTGTGAGACCTGCATTTTGGGAATTGCATTTGGCTTTGGGATTCCAGGGTTGCAGTGTGAACTAGTGAAGCTCCTCTGTGCTCATCCAGCTTCAAAAATCAGATTAACCTCAAAACAAAGTAAGGAAACATGTTTTGGTTCAATTGCTCACTTAGACCTGTAAGTTCCTCAAAGAAATACTGTGGAAATAACATTGAATTAAAGGTTCATTTCAATCCCTTGGGCCCTAAAAGATCTGGTATTGCTAGGAAAATAATAATTCTGGAAACCATCTGTGAATGGGAAACACAGTGAAGGGAATGAGGTTAGTCACCTTCAAGGAGATACAGAGAAGAATAAGACCCTTGGGGCTTTTGAGGTCCTCAATGGAAAAAAAAGAAGACACAAGAAAGGAAAAGCATTCTGAAGCCAGGTGCTTCTCTAGCCTTTTTCTTTACAAACTTTTCTTTTTTTATGAAAGGTAAAGGAAACCTAGCTTTTATGTGGGGTCTCAGGTAAGTATTTAGGGCAGTGATATCACCAAATATCTCTTTGGTCTTTCAGAACAGGCTTAAATGACCTCAAGTCCACCTCTGTCCTTAAAAGTTGACCCAGAAAACTCTCTGAGAGGCTGAGATGCAGAAGAAGGTAGATGTTTCACAAGGTTGTTACTCACCAGTCATACTGGGAAAATGGGCTAAATAAATCCCATTTGGGGGGTATACTCCCGAGGTGGGAACACCTAAAGGACAAAAAACAGGGAGGTTCAGGATGTTAAACCTGGAAACATTAGCAGCTTGGTGTCACTACAGTTATAAACATTCTTATTTAAAGTCAATTAAGATCGTAGTAGTGGTGGGTTTTATTATTTAGACACTCCTGGTTGGTTAAGAGGTTGGAACTGGACTAGATTATGAGGAGAGTCACCACTTTTCAGAAGCCAAATGAATGGCATCACTAGATGGCACATTTCCAGCAGGAGGGGATCCTCATGAGTACCAAGAAGTCTCAGAAGCATCTCTATTTTGGACACCTTATGCATGAGCACATACCAGCACTGTTGACATAGAATTTAAGATACTGGCTTCCTGAAGATGCATTTCTGGTGTGTTAAGCACAAAAAGAGTCATTTCATGTGTTTCTGTTGAGAGAGAGAACTGGCTATTATTCCTTCTTTGATGATGATGGATTCTGAAAATGCAGGTGATTCAGATCTGCTTAGGTCATTTGTTCTCTGGACATTTAAAAAGTATTTACTCTCCAGCGTAAAAGAAACAGTGCCAGGGAGAGGGAAGTTCATTGGATTAGACAAAGGGGAATGAAGGGAAGGGTTGGGGGATGGGAATAGAAAAGATAGTCAAATGAATAGTCATAACTTTCCTATGCTTATATATGAATACACACAGTGAAACTCCACATCATATACAACTACAAGAATGGGATCCTAATAAGAATAGGTTTTACTCCATGTATGTATATATTAAAATCCACTCTACTGTGGATTTTAAAAATAACAAATAAAAATCTAAAAACTAAAAGAAAAAAGAAATTCATATTGAAATACAGAATTGTTAAAAAAAAAAAAAAGTAAAGCAACAAAAAATAATAAAAATAAAAAATAAAGTGCCTAGCAGAGCCATTCTGGAGCATATAACCAGTTGCTCCAAATAGATCTTCCCCTCAACTTTTTCTACATTTTCAAGATTAATTGAGGTCTGTTCCTTTAGTTCGAGCTGTGTAGATAGGAAATATATCGAGGCTTTCTTAAAACATGCCATAGAAATTTTGTCCTAGCAGATAGTTGTAAAAATTTTTTTAAATGTGGGAGATGATTTATCTTTCCCCTCATCTAATATGTAACCCATAAATTATTGCCTGTACCACGGAGAAAAGGTTTTTCTATCATTTCAAATATTCAGATTTTCATGCTTTCAGAATTTAACTAACAATGTTGTCTAGCCCCCTGAAGTGAAAAATACTTCTCTCCATGAGAGCAATTGAGAGAGACACTGGTGTAATTGATATGTCAATTTTAAGTGGTCCCGGAGAATATTTTCACAAGCACTTGAACCTAAAGACTGATGGAGATCTTTAAAAGGCTCACTATGCCTATAATTTTGAATTGCTCTAAGATTATTTACTCTTTAGCCATATCCAATTCCTATCTTGAGAAAACTTAGATACTTCATGCAAATATATTTTTGCTAATGGCTTATTCATAAAAGGAAGACTTCTCACCTCTGTGCATATCCCGGGGATAATTGCATTACATGTTTGTCATTTTCTATGCAGGGTTTTTGTTTTTGCTATTTCTTTTTTAAAAAAAATGTAGTTGTAGTTGGACAGAAGGCCTTTACTTTATTTATTTATTTTTATTTGGTGCTAAGAATCAAACCCAGGGCCTCATATGTGCTAAGCAAGGACTCTGCCACTGAGCTATAGCCCCAGTCCTGGTTCTTTTTTTGTTTTGTTTTTAAATGTGTTGTTTGTTTTCATGATTCCTTAAATCCAGAATTACATATTATACACAATAGCTTAAACATAAATATTATTTATTATAGAATAATTTTAATATGAAATAGCATATCATGTTAAAGTTCATTGGGATTAATACCATGTTCATTAGCCATGTCTTGTAGTAACCACATGATTATTTGACCAAGAAAATACAATCAAGGGTTAGCCAAAACAAAATAAATATCAATTCAAATTCATTATCTTTCCAGTTTAGTCTTATGAAGGAAATCTATTTATGTACATGAGTACTGTAGCCAATGAACATTATTCAAACACAAAAATCAGAAAATGCCAGTCTGCTGTGCCTTTTTTTTTGTTGTTGTTGTTGTTTTTTCATGAAATCAGATTGCCCCCAAAATGGTTGCAAATCCATGGCTGAACTATAAAACCCCAAATTGAGGGAAATGATAACCCCCACAGAATTCCCAGGTGTAGATAACCCCTTCACCACGTTTATTTATGAGTCTATTACTTCTTAGTTGGAAAATTTCCTTGACACCTCCATGGTGCACATATTAAATTCTATTCCTTGTAGTTGGAGGTAGAATCTAAGGAGAACACACATGTGGCAGTTTCAGAGAATGTGATATTTACTCAGCAAGAGAAACACCTCCCATCAAGCAGCCTCATGGATAATGTGTTGTGAAGATGGTTTTTCACCGCTGACACGTTGGAATCTATACTCAAGTCATCTGCTGTTTTTCATAAAGGGAACTTCAGTATGGAGCTACTCTGTAACCACCCGTGCACTGGCCCTTGCTGGTCATTAAGAAGAGCATTGCTCTCGCAGCACCTGAAGTATAGGCCATCAAGAGCACACACATCCTGATTAGCCTCAAGTCTAGTCCCATGTCAATGATCTAAATTTTGTTATTATAAATAACTCCCTAATAATGTTAAAAGGGCTTGAAAAATCACATATGTGCAAAAGCTGTCTGCAGAGGACTCTATTTATTTGGAATACTCAGAACTGAAGCTTAACATGTTAATCTCCAATTTGCTCACAAATTTTCAACTTGATTTTAAAGTCAGTGAGGAAGTGACATATTGTTCCCTATTCCAGGGTTATTTTACTCTTTGCTGTAAGGCTGAAATGTTTTCCAGTAGAACCAATTGAGGACAATTAAAAAAACAGATGTGAACCAGCGTTGTACCAAGGGAGTGGACTCCTGTTTCAAATGCATCAGGGACCTTATCATTTCACAGTACACCATTATGACCTCAGTCCAATTATGAAATATTTCACTTTATGTAGTTAATGAGTGCTTCAGCATAATTAAGTTAAATTATCTTTCTGTGGTGTATCTAAAAAATTGAATTCATTTAAATGTAGACAAAAGGAAAAAGTGGCCTCCATTTGACATCCCAAGTGACAGAGCACATTCAATTTACTCCTGTATAAACCCCTAAAAGAGGTTATTCAGTTTCTTTTTTGCCCTTGGTCTACGTTTTGCCCCTTAGCTGTATCAAAATGACGTCTCCTTAATCAAGTCTTAGTTATGTTCAGATCTTTAGAAATGTGAATTGATTCAAGAAGCTGATTAAAATGTATGCTGAATTGTTTGAAGAAAAAAAAATACAATATAGATGAAAATACTTAGAAGTGACTTCCTGTTGAATCCATTTCATCAGAATGGATGTTAATTTCAAGGAAGTTGCATTAAAAAATTAAACTAAAATTACCATTTCTTAATTAGAATGTGAATCGCTTTTATATTCTAGTCCTGAATGTCCCATGAGCATACCGATTTACTTTTAATACTGACCCTTCTTATATGTAAGCAGTAATATAGACAAGGTAATTAAATATAAGGAAATATTTAGCAACCTTTGTGAAGCCTTGTGTTACTTGATTATACAGAGACATAATTTTTTGTTTCTTTCCATTCTATTTGACAGATAGTTGCCGCAATAATGGCAATTACTGGCATTGTCATGATGGCATATGCAGATAATTTCCATGCTGATTCCATCATTGGTGTGGCATTTGCAGTCGGCTCAGCCTCAACGTCTGCATTATATAAGGTATGTTGTGCACCTTATTTTGTAATCAGCTGTCACTCATAGCCTAGATTTAAGCAAAAAAGAAAGGAAATAAAGTGAAAACTTTGGTTAGAAAAAAAATAGATGCATTTAAATAATAATGATATCATATATTGAGTGCTTGCTATGTGGTTGGCACCTGCCAGAGAATTTCAACTTTGTCAACACAACTTTATGAAACATAGATACATATTTCCCACTTTTCAGATAAGGAAGTTGAAGCTTTATAAGATTAAGTAACTTTCCCAGGGTCACATAGCCAGGAAGCAACAGATTGAAACTCTAGACCAGTCAATCCCTCAGCCTGTGCTCTACACTCCAGCCCCTCAATTATCAAATCGTTGTAGCTGGTATGTAGGAAAAGCTTGATCTCCCCTTGTGCTTCTTTCAGTTAACTATATGGTCATTATTTTAACTCCAACAAGGTATTATAAATAATAAAGAAGCTGTCCCTTGAGAGATGCTGTCTACCTGTTGATTCCAGGCCTCAGAAGCCCACATCATTAGCAAAATAGAGACATTCTTTTTCTCTCTGAGCCAGGGTCTGAGTCTGATCTCCCCAATCTTTTTCTACTGAGTTCCCAGCCATCCATGAAAATTCTACTCGAGCGAGGGTCATTGTAGCCACCTTCAGAAGTGAGGACTCAGGGAGAAGATCTCAAAGCTTGTTCCAAAAGAGCTTTACTTTTTTTTTTTTTTTAATTTTTAATTTTTTATTGTGGGTTGTTCAAAACATTACAAATTTCTTGACATATCATATTCCACACTTTGATTCAAGTGGGTTATGAACTCCCACCTTCACCCCATACACAGATTGCAGAATCACATCAGTTACACATCCATTGATTTACATACTGCCATACTAGTGTCTGTTGTGCTCCGCTGCCTTTCCCATCCTCCACCCTCCCCCCTCCCCACCTCTCCCCTCCCCTCCCCTCCTCTCTCTCTACCCCCTCCACTGTATAACCCTGAGGGTCTCCTTCCATTACCATGCAATTTCCCTTCTCTCTCCCTTTCCCTCCCACCTCTCATCCCTGTTAAATGTTAATCTTCTTCTCCTGCTCTTTGTCCCTACTCTGATCTTAGTTACTCTCCTTATATCAAAGAATACATTTGGCATTTGTTTTTTAGGGATTGGCTAGCTTCACTTAGCATAATCTGCTCTAATGCCATCCATTTCCCTGTAAATAAGAGCTTTACTTTTAAGAGCCAGCTTTCTGGATGTATCTACAGGACAATTCCAATTTTACCTCTCTCAGTGTTTCATTAAGACAAGCCTCTTTGGAAGACACAAAATACCCTTTGCATTCCTCCTGGAGGTCTGTTTTGACTATTCACCACCACTGCAGCTCAGAGGGCATGAGGTCTATTTCCATACTGACATTTCTTGGCCCACTGATTCTGTGTGACAAGTTTGACAAGTGTTCACTCATTCGCTATTAGTATCTAACTTGCTTCCGGACAGAAACTCCACCAAAACGTCGAATGTGGCCAAGAACTGGCACATGCCAGGTTCTCTTAAGTCTTTCAATAGAAAAATAAATAAATAAATTCAGTTGAAATAAAAAAGCAGTACTTGAAATTGCTGTGTAATCAGGATAGTTCTCTTACGGAGAGAATTCTCCTGACCACATTACAGAATATTTTCATTCTGGGATTGGGAATAGTTGCTAAAAAAATGCACAAAATCCTATGTGGATAATAATTTCAGGCAGAAATAATCTGCTTCAATCTATATTATTTTGATAAAATTAGTAAAGGGAGAGAGGGGTTAGGGAGCTAAGAAATAAGACGCCAGGCCTGGCTTCTTCCCCCAGACTGTTCTGAGACAGATTCGCTTCTCCTTGCCATCTTACAATCCATAGGGGGGGAAAGTTTTTTTTTTTAATCCACAGAATAACATAATGTTTGTGAAGACATTTTAAGCTCAGAAAGAAAAGTGCTTATAAAGCCAAGGCATCATTATTTCTCTCAACCACATAAAATTATAGGCTTTCTGTCCAATTTAGCTTTCAGTATTTGTCAAAATAAGAATAAAAGGAGCCCCATGTTTGAAAGGAAGAATCGATGGCATCTCAGTCATTGAAAATTTTTCTGGACTTAGGGTACTCTTATTTATCATGTACCCTCTGCCCATCCAGAGGGTTGTGCTTCACATAGTGTACAGTACCCCAGCGATTTCCTACACCATAAGGAATTTATTCAGTGGCTATTTTTGTCTTCTATAAAGGATATAAGGCACTTTAATATCTTGTCTCAACGTCCCATTTAGTGCCATGGAGATGACAGGAAAGGAAGACATGGAAGATAAGCTGTGAGCTGGTTAGTCCACTGTGTAGGTGGATAGAATCCCCATCTCTACTCCAGCAAAGTGTTCCCAACTGTGTGGCTGAAGAGTTTCTTTCCCATTCAGGTTTTGTTTAAGATGTTCCTTGGAAGCGCCAACTTTGGGGAAGCCGCACACTTTGTCTCCACCATGGGTTTCTTCAATTTGATCTTCATCTCCTTCACCCCGGTCATCTTGTATTTCACCAAGGTGGAGCACTGGTCCTCGTTTGCAGCTTTGCCATGGGGCTGTCTCTGCGGAATGGCTGGACTATGGCTAGGTAAGTGTCCTCAGGTTTGGGCTTCTCTTTCCTACGTCACTCGACCTTTCCTTAGATAGATTATCACAGCAGGATTATTCCCTTAGATACCTCTGTGCTCTATTGGCCAAACTTGCATTGGTTAATGTCATGGAATTTTAGGAACTTCTTTGAAGGTTTTGGTTTGATTAGATCAGCCATCCAACTGGTGTGCCTGCCATGGGTGTGCCTGCCCAGGCCACTGTCTTCACCACTGACCTTCAAGCAACCTCATCCATCCAATCTTGTGACATACTGTGTGATTTACATGTTCTATGTCTGCCACAGTGTGTTGGGGGAGGTCAAAGAATAGATGACAAATTGAAGGAACGTAAAGTGGTTCAAAATGGCCAGAGCACCAGGCTCAGGAGAGAGAGAAGGAGTGGCATTCAAGAGGGAAGCAGCTCATGCAGGTTCTGGAAAGCCATATTGAGGTTTGGATTTTTTATATATATTTATTTTTTAGTTGTAGTTGGACACAATACCTTTATTTCACTTATTTATTTTTATGTGGTGCTGAGGATCGAACCCAGGTTCTCGCACCTTCGAGGCAAGCGATCTACCACTGAGCCACATCTCCAGCCCAAGGATTGGATTTTAAATCCACTTAATATTTAATCAGGGAGGTGTATTAAACAGCTGTATTAAACAGCTCACTCTGCTGAGCCTGGAGAAAGAGTTTGCAATAGGAAGCCCTCACCAGGAAAGAGAAGAAGGCGGCATGAGCTGAGCTTGGTAGTCCAAGCAAAGCAGAATGTGCCTCGTCAAGGGCCAAGAAAAAGCCACATGGAGTCTTTTTAATGTCTTCCCTCCCTGCGCCCTGGAACTCTGGGGCTGTCTGCCTCAGCTGAGCTCTGGGCTCCCACTTTTAATCTGTGCTACTGCTGTCACTTCATGCAAGAGGAACCTGAAAAAATAATGAGCCTGCTCTTCTCTCACCAAGCAGTCGAAAAACAGCAACAACTCAATGTCCCCATGCCTGTTTACTCAAAATCAAATCATTTGCATTCTGCTCCCCTTTCCACATACTGCCCAAGGTCAGCCTCTTTGCCTGCTCCACAGTTACCCGCCACACTCAACCTGCAGGACCTCTGCCAACCCTCAGCTGACCTTCTTTACCAAGGTGATGTGATTTGAAATAGTAGCCATACTGCAATTCCAGAGAGAAAAAAATGTCCTGATTCTATGATTAGGTCATCTTTTTCCACTCCAACCCAGGAGAAAGAAGTCTTAGACGGGAAACAAGAGAGGAATCAAGTATTAATTGCTGGTCCCTTGAGTTCTTCTTTTCAAGGCCAAAAATGTATGGTTATCATCTCTCATTACCTCTGCTGAGTTGAGTAGAAATCAATAGCAATGTTTCCTTATGACCAAAATATCCTCATAAAAACCACCTAGAATATTTCCTGGCCAAAAACAACCTACATGAGAACAATCAGAACCAAAATTTTGTTGAGTCTTAGCCCCTCACTGCACACACATGGTTTCTTTGCAGCAAATTAGGCCTCGCCAGTATATTCCTTGGCAGGGTAATACATGTTCCTAAGCAAACCTGCTCAGGCTGGGTGCCACCCATGCTAGCTGGACCTTGGAATGCTCCAAGCAATGTTTTCTCTACACCCTACAGAACACAGTGCCAGCTGGCACTGCAGTTGCTCCACCAGGCTCACCCCAGTGCTCTGCAGAGTTCACTGTGCCAAAACCGTGCTCTTACAAATTGAAGAGATAGTCTCTCTCCTAACTGTTATATACCCCAGGGTTTTACACTCCTCAGAGCTCCTGATCTTAAGTTTTCATTTCCACCCATATATTCTCCATGGGAATCAGATATGATCTATCTGTGGCTGATCTGAGAAATGGAACTGAGAGATGAACACCAGTCTGTGATCTGAACTGCCCCCACATCTCCTGCAACCATGGCTGTGACCGGTCTTTCAGTGACAGCCCAAATGCAGGTGGGCCTGCCTCCTCCAGTCACCTGGCATGTCTGAATTGCACCTAAATATGGGCTGGACCCCAGGCCACAAATAACACATTGAATTAGGTATTCTTTTTTTTTTTTTTTTTTTGGATTGTCAAAAAAGAATGTAAGTATTCTATCTAAAGAACTAAGGAAAAACAGATAACACATTTCAGTGAAGATGCCTGGCTTTTGTTGAGTGAAAAGGGCTCAGTATTACAGAAATACCACTGCTTTCATTCAATAGGCTAAAATATCCAGTTCAGCCAGCAAAATAACAGCTGAGGAGGTCAGCAGAGCCTTCTTGCATTTGATAATTCCTAATGTGTTAAAATTTGCTATGTTTGACTCTCTGAGCCCCTCAAGGGACTAGAACTCATTCCAATCTTATCACAAAGGAGGAGCAGTCACTAACTTAGAAGGTCCCTTTTCCCTGACTGCTAGGAGTGTCGTATGAACAAGTCTTGGGAAGGTCAAACCCGTTGTCTACCAAGCATAAGTGACTCCAGGCAACTAAGTTAGTGGGCTTCATTAAAGCAGGAATTATAAATGCCAGTAGAGAATACATACCTTTCTAACTGGAAGGGTTCTAGAACCCTTCTTTGAGTCTACAGAGGTACAAGGAACATGCTTCAGTCATGTGCATAAAGATCTTCTCTGATTCAAGGACTTTTTATGCCTGTTAGTACTACTCATCACTCTATTCCCTAAAACAGACATTCAATTGAACTTTGTTAAAATAATGCTCAGTGATTTATCATTTTTTCCCTGTTTTTTTTTTTAAACCAGATTAAATCCAAGGGCACTTAAGCTCTGAATCACATTCCCAGCCCTTTTTGTCTTTTATAAGAGACAGGGTCTCACTGAGTTGCCTAGGGCCTCCCTAAGTTGCTGAGGCTGGGTTTGAACTTGCGATCCTCCTACCTCAGCCTCCCACGTTGCCGGGATTACAGGCATGTGCCATCGAATCCAGTTATTTTTTTCCTTTTTGAAAATATTATTTTTAGTAATGTTGGAAGGGGATAGATAATTTTAAATTATGTTCTATTTAATTAAAGAGTGCCAAAAGATTAACTAAAGAGCATGAAGCTACACCCTCAGTTAGTGCTATAGATCTGCCTGCTGGTTACCTGTGCACAAATCAAGACATGGAAGCAGTCCAGGGAATTTGGTGAAGTACTTTAAACCCACCTTTGTCCATGTGAAGTTTACCTCAGAGAGGGAGAAAAAAAAACAGGATAGGCTGTCATTGGGTAGATTTTCCTTTAGATAATGACATTAGAGCTTTTTACTCTTCTGAGAACATAGCCCAACATAGCAAAGTGACAAAGAGATAAATGGCCAAACTTCAACCTGTCACTTACTTTCCACCTCTGGCTGGCCCCAGCCTACCTTTGCCATGCTAATAAGCAGTGTGGTAAATTTTACCTCTTTGCATTTGCTCCATATACCTGTTGCCAACCAGTTGGCAAGAGCTCAGGCAAACAGGGAGATGGAGGAGGACAAAAGAATATGACTAATTTGGGGGGACATATGCATGCATCCATCTCCAAAATTAGAGGATTAATTGACCCACGGTGCAGGCACTTAAGAAGGCACCTTTAGCAAAGACATTGATTGTTTCACAGGAAGAAGAAAAGAGCTTGCATGCCGGTTCTCCTTCATTCTGTAGATCCTCCTTTGTTTTACAGCTTTCAACATTCTGGTGAATGTCGGTGTAGTGCTGACATACCCTATCCTCATCTCCATTGGGACCGTGCTCAGCGTTCCTGGAAATGCAGGTACTGGCATGGTTTGGCATGTGCAGGTTCTGATGACCCAATAAGACTCCTGTTCGTCTTTATGCTCTGACTTGTTTCTTCTAGCAATGATGAATTATGTCCCTTGCCTCAGAAGATGTTTTTAAATATCATGAAGGTGGCAGACAACAGAATAACTATGCAGCAGATTTAAAATTTGCAGCTACAAAAACACTGCTTTTACTTGGTTGTGCTTTTAGAATTAAATACCAAATGTATCATTTGGGTTTCATGCAATCTCCCTGACAACCTAATTTCGTGGTATTTTTAGAGGAAGTCCTATGGAAACAAAAGGCAACCCAGCTTAGGACTCTGAAGTCAACGTCACTAATGAAAGTACAGAAAATGTACAGGGTTTTGGGCTCCCATCAAACTATCCTTAGGGAGCTGCGGAAGATTCTCTTGGGAGCAGAGCAGGTGGCCCTCCAGGAAAAGCAACTTGACTCACAGGGGCAAGAGGAGGAGCTATTTATCTAGAAAAATCTTTCTGGTGAAGCCTGCCAGTAACTCTAGTAATGAAAATGGGTTGTCTGGGTGATAGTTCTGTCAGTCCTTCCTACTTTAAAATTCTATGATTCCAAGTCTTGAGTACTGTCTTTCTTTTCTTTAGGAAAACCAACATATGTTTACTGAGTGTTTATTATTCGATCACGGATATAAACAAGACAGCAAAAAACAAGTACATTTTTGTTTTCTTAAGAAGCTTACAACTGAGTTTATAAAAGAAAACCAATATACTTGAAACAAGTTGGAACTCTACAATGCAACTTATTATTAAATGCCCACACTATGAAAGACAGACCCAAGGGCTATGAGGTATTTAGAGGAAAGGGATATTGGAGAGAAGTGAAGTTGACAAAGAAGTTCATTAATTCACCATGAATTCATTCATTCAATAAATAATTTCCAAGCACCTCATCTATGCCAGGAACTGTGCTAACAATGGTGATAGATCCTGAATAAAGCACAGTTCCTGCCCCTAGGACCATGTAGTGGAGAGGTAGATAAAGGGAAGTGAGTAATTACAAGGTGGAAAAATAATCACTTTGATAGAGGCATGTTCTGGATGCTCTGAGAGCACATAGGAGGAGCATACAAGAAGCTGCCTGCAAGAAACCTTAAGATAGAGCTCTACCAGAGCGGGTGGTTCGATGGAGTAGGATATGAGGAGGGAAGGGCAATTTATACAAAAAGAACAGCATGTGTCAGACAATTCCACACCTAGGTATATAACCAAAAGAAAAGAAATTAAAAGAAAATTGGAAACAGGGATTTGAAAATAACTTTGTACATAAATTTTTACAAGAGCACTATTTACAATAGCCAAAAAGTAGATATACCCAAATGTTCATCAGCAGATGAGTGGATAAACAAATTGTAGTGTATATAATGTGATATTATTCAGCCACAGAAAATGATGAAGTATTGACACATGCTACAGCCACAACGTAAGTCAACCTTAAAAACCTTATGTGAAATGGAAGAAAACAGTGTAAAAGTCACACATTCTGTGATTCCATTTATCCACTGAAAAAGAAGCAGATGTGTAGTTGTCAGGGGAAAAAGAGTGGGGATAAAAGGTTGAGAACAGAGTTTAATTTTGAAGTGATAGAGATGTTTAGATAGAGGGTAATTGCACAATATTGTAAATGGGCTAAATGTCACTAAATTCACTTTCAAACAATTAGTTTTATATTATATGAATCTCACCTCAATTAAACTTTGAAAAAGGACAGCACGTACAAAGACATAGGCATGAACAAGTTTGGCTCATTCAAAAAATGTCCAATGATCCATTGAAACTGGAAAAGGGGGTAGGGCTGCGAAGGACAAGTCGAAGAGAAAAGCCAGGCTGGGTGCAGTGGCACATATCCAAAATCCCTGGGACTTGTGAGGCTGAGGCAGGAGGATCACAGGTTCAAGGACAGCTTCAGAAATAGCAAGACCCTGAGCAACTTAGCAAGACTCTGTCTCAAAGTAAAAAAATAAAAAGGGCTGGGATTTGGCTCAGTGGTTAAGCACCCCTCAGTAAAATCCAAAGTACAAAAGGAGAGAGAGAAAACCATAGAGGTCCTTAGGTCCAGTTTCATGGAATTTGAGCTAAGCCTTGAGTAGTAAGTATGACTTTTGAAAATATGGAGAAGTGACACTGACTTAGGTTACTTGTTTTCAGAGAAACTTAGAAACAGTCATGGGCTGTGACTGATGTGACTTTTCTTTCCTAGCTGTGGACCTCCTGAAGCAGGAGGTGATATTTAATGTCGTCCGCCTGGCTGCTACCATCATTATCTGCCTAGGGTTCCTGCTGATGCTGTTGCCTGAGGAGTGGGATGAGATCACCCTGAGGTTCATCAACAGCCTGAAGGAGAAGAAGAGCGAGGAGCACGTGGAGGACATGGCCGATTCCAGCGTGCACCTGAGGAGCAGAAGCAGGGCCAATGGGACAGTGTCTATACCACTGGCTTAAGGGGGACACAATTTGAATGCACGTCGTATGTATATTCTGTGAATATAATCAAATTTTCTCTCTACTTGTACGCTCAAATGACAGTATTAACTCTGAATTTGGATAAATCATATGTAAAATAATGCCAACGATAAAAGTTTACATTTATATGCTTATCGAGGAACTGATGTAAATAATCATAATAAAATTTTTTATTAAAATATATTTGTCCTTGTTCTCTTTGTTCCGCTTGGAGGGGAATTTCCCTTGCAATTCACAAAATTTCCTGAAAATATGAGATTCAGTTAAATCATAGATGTATTATCCTTTTCTCAACCGGCATAGAGACCTTTTCATTTCAATCCAGAGAGTGTTGTCTAATGGAAAAACGTATGAAATGGATATACACTTCCTATTCATTGAAGTTCAATGAGAATCTAAAAATTCGAAAGCTGGCAAATCATTAAACAAATATTAACGGAGCACCCTCTATCTGTTGGACCCACATTAGGAACCAGGAGGATATAAAGATAGAGAAGACATCTGTACTTTCACTGTGCCAGCATAGCACAGAGCATTTTCACTTTAGAAGTCTCTCTATCACAAAGGATATAGAGAGGACATCAGTCATCTCTAAAGTCCTTCACCACCAAGTTTCCTGAAAGAATTGGTTCTATTTGCTGTCATTTTTTGTCTTTACTTCCTCTTCAATCTTGAACCCACTGCCAAGCACCTTCTGTCCCCATCATTCCTCCTGAAGTGCCTTCTAAAGTCAACAGTGACCTCACTCTTGCAAAATCATGTTAGTACTTTTCAACTATTGCCTTGTGCTCTCTACAGCATTTAATGCAATGACCTTTTTTCCCTCCTCTGAAATACTCTCTTTAGCGGGATCCCATCACTTTCTTGTGGTCCTCTTTCAACCTCATAGCCAGCTCCCCGGATGGATCCCTCTTTCCAGGTTAGTCCTATCACCAGTCATATCCTCTGAGTTCAGTCTTCATTTGCTCTTTTAGCATCTCATTCCATACTCTCAAGGAGTTCGTCTACTCCAGTCCCTTCAGTTCTCCTCTGCATGGTGATGACATCAGGATCTTATCTCCAGCCCAGATCTGTCCTTGAATTCAGATCTGACTATTCAAATACCTTCTGAGCTCAGTTGGATGGTGTTTTTTTATTGCTATTTTTCTGAGAAGTCTTTTCTTATCCCCCAAGCCAAAAAACATGACCTCCTTAGTGGCTTCTATTTACCCACATTGTAACACTGATTCCGTATGTGGTAAGTGCCACTCTATTGGTCTGAGTTTCCAGTGGACCATGAGCTCCTAAGAGCAAGAGCTGCGTGGCAGTCATGGTGTGTCCCCACGGCTTAGCACTTACAGACATTCCGCCATGAGTCAATGGGTAGCTCAAGACATACAGCCCACTCTAAACCATATGAGATCAGTCTTAGTTAAGGACAGGCATTCTCATAGATGAGATGATTAAAGGAAGGATTGAAAGGTGTCACGACCTTTCAGTTAAATGTACCACAGTCCTTATCATGTTTCCAGAAAATACCAACATGCTGAACTGATGAAAGGTACTCCTGCCCTGAAGGTGGATTAGGGCATCTAGCAATTGAACATACTTTGCACTTTGTAGGAAATTGGCAAGAAACCAAGCCCTTGTGACAGCTGTCTTACTATTCTTTTTTTTTTTTTTTACTCAAGATTCCCTAAAAGTGTAGGTGAAACAATCACAAGACACAAGAAAGGAACTCAGAATCTCACACTGGCTGGCTGGGCATCATGGTAAATAAAAACCTCAACGTGTCATGACTTTGATTTCTCTGTCATTCTTTGAAAAGGCAATGTCAGTCTCCTGGCATAGATAGATGACATGATATTAACTAAAATAACACACACAGTTTAAGCTCCATGACACATTTTTAAGCTTCATGGAAAATGGTACAAAGTAAGTGCAATTTGTTATTAATAAATATGAGTTAATTCATTATCTAAGTAGAGTTAGTTTTGACTGTTTAAATGCCATACTGGTACAAACATTGCTCTTGCCTTGTTTTTAAATTACTGTTGAATAGTAGTAATCACTGACTAACCCTCTCCAGCATCTTGCCAATGCTTAATGTGACATTTAAAATTGTGTTTTGATGTCTTTAAGAAATGGGTTGTTTTGCTCTTTTTGATGATTCATTTTGAAAAAAATAAAGTCAGTCACTCTACAAAGCACTAATTCAACCTATGACTGATCACCATAATTAGCTCAGTCAATGCTAAGAATTCCATTATGGTATTCATTCATTAAAAAATTATTAAATTCTACTTCTGACTTGGAAGTGGGATATTATGAGACTGTTACCAATTGGATCTGTGTTGTGGGAAAGAAGATACAAAAATGTGTTAAAAAAAAAAAAAGAAGGGTCACTGCTCACAGGAGCTTGCAACCTTTATAGGTAAGCGGTCACCTTGACAGTCTGAGTCTTGAAACGACTCAGAAATTTTTTTTAAAACGAGCTTTCGGTAATGTGAGATGTTCCCTTTAATTCTGGTAAAGTGAACATAACAACAATAATGCTTTTATTTTACTTCTCATGGTTATCATGAGAATCAGATGGGATAACATATTTCAGTCATTGAACAAATTGTGCCTATGTTGTGCCTTCAGTGAGTCAGATTCTGGAGGATACTTAAGGGAGCATGACAAAGTCCCCGCTGGAGTGGGGGAAAGTCCCTTGCTGTGCTTACTGTTATCCTGCATTTACCTTTCTTTCTACTTCTGTCCTTCCTTCCTCCCTTCCTTTCACAGTGGTGGGGATCAAACCCAGGGCCTCGGGCATGCCAGGCAAGCGCTCTGCCACTGAGCTATATTCCCAGTCCTATCATACACCTTTGTCCAAACCTGTTCCTCTCCAGTATCCAGAGGCAATGGCTTGTGTGGATCACTGAGTGGCCAGCACAGCTCAGGGATGAAGAGTAGCCATGTGTCCAACCCCAATTTGCACTCCTGAGAGGCATGACTTTGGCAAACAGCTCAACTTACTCTGCTATTCAATTCCATCATCAGCAAAATGAGGATATTAATAACTATCATTTGGGATTGTTGGAACATTACAAAAAATAATGTGAGAGGATCTTCACACATTGCCTGTCAGGCCAGAAGCAGAAATCCTATTAGGTTTGTTTATGTCCCTCCAGGACCTTGTCCAGAACTTGACACACAGATTTGGTCCCCACACCCATCCTTTGGCACCCAGTTCACAGCACTGTGCCCTAAACAGTGGTGCTGAGCAGAGAATTCTACCCAAAATTAACCAAAGAGACAGAAGAAGGCTGGCAACGAGCAACACCGGGAGGAAGCAGAAAAGCACAGCCATCTCCATGAGTGTGTTTCCCCTCCGCACTTCATGGCGCAACTCTTGCCCAGTCAGTGGAACTAATTGCCTGACAAAAAGACAGACTAGCGACTTGGGCTCTGAAATTAAAATCACTTCAACCACGTCCTGATCTCTTCACAAAAAGATTATAGGCAAATCAATGTTGCTCATCCAGGCTTTGCACGCCTGTTAATTTTGTGCAGATGCTTTGTCAAGATCCAGAGGACAAATGGTTTGGAAAAGGACAAGGCAAGAGATAAAAGAGTGACTGGTGTAAGCAGCCAAGCATCAGAAGGCTTCTGATATTTAAGTACAAATCCTCTTTCCTACTTATCCATAAACCCCTGTCAGAAATACAAAAACACCTACTAAGGGCTGGGACTACCTAAAACATGTTGGTTTATCTGGCAGGTTAGAACAAGAAGTCTCTATTAATTCTAGTTCTTTTTAGTTCTGTGTCTTTTTTCTTCCACATCTGTGGCAATCAGAGGTGAGGAAGGAACAGGGAGAGTCTAGGAGGTTATGGTGTGGGGGTGCTAATTCCAAGAACCCAGAGGCAGAAAGAGTGGAAGTCCCACACTTTAATGCTCTGGTTGGCTGATATGACCCTACATGTATGCCACCAAGGCAAACGTGACTTGCTGAAGCACCACATCCTTTTGAAACTTGTGTATCTTAAGATTAAGAATTATTTAATGTTAATCTTTTCCTCATGCTCTTCCTCCCTGTTCTGTTCTTAGTTGCTCTCTTTATATCAAAGAAGACATTTGGCATTTGTTTTTTAAGGATTGGCTAGCTTCGATTAGCATAATCTGCTCTAATGCCATCCATTTCCCTGCAAATTCTATGATTTTGTCATTTTTTATTGCTGCGTAGTACTCCATTGTGTATAGATGCCACATTTTTTTTTATCCATTCATCTATTGAAGGGCATCTAGGTTGGTTCCACAGTCTAGCTATTGTGAATTGATTAACATTAAACAAAGACGAGTGGGGGGAGAGAAAGGGAGAGAGAAGGGAAAGCATATTGAAATGGTAGGAGACCCTCAATGTTGCACAAAATTACATAGAAGAGGATGTGAGGGGAAAGTGGGGGGGAAACAAGGGAGAGAATTGAACAACAGCAGATGAGGTAGAGAGGGATGATGGGAGGGGAGGGGAGGGGGGATAGTAGGGGATAGGAAAGGTAGCAGAATACAACAGTCACTAATATGCCATTATGTAAAAATGTGAGTGTGTAACCGATGTGATTCTGCAATTTGTATTTGGGGTAAAAATGGGAGTTCATAACCCAATTGAGTCAAATGTATGAAAGATGATATGTCATGAGCTTTGTAATGTTTTGAACAACCAATAAAAAAAAAAGATTAAGAATTATTAACCTGAACTATAGGGACTGGCTTTAGCTGCCATTCCAAGAAACCCTTGTCAGAGTTTTCAAAATGGCATGAACTGGGCTGCTTTATTCTGGAAGAATAAATTCCAAGAACTCAGGCTGAAAACTCACACTGTCCTATATATTAGCCATTAGCCATGTGTGGCTTTCAAAATGTGTCAAGTGTCAGTTGAGATGTGCTATGTCAAATACACCGGATTTGAGGGCTTCATACAGAGAAAAAAAAACTGTTTTGTTATTAGTTTTATACTCATTACATACTGGAATGAGAATACGTGAATATGTTGGGTTAAATTAAATTTACTTTATCTGGTTTTTTTTTCTTCTTAATTGTAGCTACTTGGTTTTTAAATCATATAAGAGGCTTGCATTGTATTTCTATTGGACAGCATGACTCTAACAGGAAT